TTTATATGCTGAAAGAAACTTTTTATATTACCTTTGATATTTGTTGCAAGTCTTTGTTCATCTGCCATCCTACCTTACTTATGTTTGTACTTAACCTTTTTGTCTATCAGAGTTTATCAGAAAGATTTTTGTGAAACCATGCTGGTTTCTTCCTGGATTTCTTGTCTTTCTTTTTCAGTGGTATTGTGTGCTGTATTGGGCTTTTTATGATCATGTTTTTCAAGAGTTTCCGATGCTTCTTAGTTTTTTTCCCCTTTTAACATTTTTATCCATGGGATTTTTCTTAGGCTGCCTCTCAGTTTGTTAAAATCAGCTCTTTTCAAGTTTAAAACACTGGTTGGATTATATTCTATTGCTTGTGTTTGCATTCTATTGAATTCAAATATGACATGGTCACGTTTGCCTAAGGTTTGGCAACTTCAACTCCTTCTATCTCTTCTTCTCTATTAGTAAGAATTAGGTCCAGTGTAGCTTTTCCTCTGGTTCCCTCCTCTGTCTTTTGAATGAGAAAGTTATCAGCTAAATTGGTTAGGACTCTGTTTGATCTCCCACCTGCTGCAGAGTTTGTCTCCCAGTGGATATCAGGTTAGTTGAAGTCCCCCATTACTACAGTGGTATGTTCCTATATACATTTGTTAATTGATTAGCAAAGAGTTCATCATCTACTTCTTCTGCTTGGTTGGGTGGCCTGTAATATACACCTGTAGCAATGTCATTTTTTTCTCCTTTTATATTGACCGCTATGGATCCTAGGTTTTCACCCATGGTTTTGTGTATATCTGTAGAGATGTAGGTACATATGTAGGTTTTTTTTTTTTAATAGAAGCTGTTTGTTCCCTATTATGTTCAGTTTGGGTGTATCAGTTTTCTTCTTTAAATTCATATATGGGGTTATTTTTTAAGAAGCTGTTTGTTCTCTATTGTTTTATTTTGGTGTAGTCTTTTGCTTAGGCAAGGATTTCTCGCTTTGTTCATTGAGTTTCAGAGTGGCTAGACTCGCTTCTAGACGCCCTTTTTCTTTCTTTTAGTAATTCAGGTAGTTTACACATTTGATACATATATAGTTTCGGTATTCTGTGAGCATAAGCTGAAACACATGGAACACTTATAATGCAAGGCATTATACTATCAGTCTCTATTTCCATGACTGTGTTTGTTTTTGTTTTGTTTAGAAATTGAAATTTTCTAAAAATTCAATACTTTCCCTGTTGCAAAGTATCAATTTACAATACAATTACAATATTTTACAACCAGAAATTCACTACTCAAATGTCAAAAGGCCAGGTACAAATGTTGACTTGTTCATTTTGCCTCCGATCATTCTGTTGAAGAAAGCACGAATTAGGCTATCCTGGGGTGGGGCATCTGAAACTTTCCCCTCCCTGGCCGTTGAAATACCTTAATCCTGACTCTCCCCCTCCCCGCTCCCCTTCTCCAGCATCAAATTCACAGTTGGGCAGGGCAAGGAAGGCATCATTGACTTCACCTCAGGATCTGAGTTGCTGATAGCCAAAGCCAAGAATGGCCACCTGGCAGTCGTAAGTAACCCTTTGCTTGTCGAAGCTGAAAGCAGTCCCCTTCTTCCCTGGACTGGGCACCCAGTATGGGGGGGGGGGCTCTTTCTGAGGAAAAGGCCCCCGGGGTCTCTTACTGCCTTTGTCTGTATTTCAGGTGGCTCCTCGTTTGAATTCTCGATGATGGCGATGGACACTTCAAGGGGCCGTAGACTAATTCAGTGAACATGGTCGCAGGTTTTCCTTGGCCTCTTCATTAGTGAGGGGCCTCTCTTTGCCCCCGTTCTCTGGCCACCAATGACCCTCCCTCAGTTCTGCCCTTGGTTTTTATTCAATCCATATACCCCATCTGCCAATCGGCCCTAAACAGATTGGCGGCCATGGTGCCCACAAGGAGTGAGGTAACATGCAGTTGCCAATAAATCCCAGTAAAATGCCAAATTTTATATGAAAATATTTTATAAAGCAATCTTCTCCTGTTTTTGGGTGCTTTGTATGAAAATATAAAAAGCCATAATGTACAGATGAAATTTTGTAAATATTTCCTCCTTGTATGGGATGTTTGCACTATGGAAATTATTTTCTTATTCCTAATTGGAGAAATGATGACGATGATCCAAGAAGTATCAGCATTCTTGGCATTTCTATATTCCCCTTTCCTTTCCTGGAAATCTCCCAAGACTTGGCAGTTGCTGGTTTAGATGGATTTCTTATATCTGCACTTTGACTTTGCCAAAGGGAGTTCAGCAATATTTCTCCACAAACAGACCCTTATAAAAAGAGGGTTTTCCATTACAGTCTTCAACACAACATTCATGGTCTCTAATCTTTGCAAGGACATTGCTATGAAATATCAAGCAAAAAACAAAATTGTTAAGAGCTAAAAAAATTGCTGAAACACATTTTCAAAAATGCTTGAAGTTCTAAATATTTGGGATATTTTTTTTAAGTGTATCTAGTAAGACACTAAGTCTGCCTTTTAATTTTTGATTATGGCTTCCTCGACACTGACATAGCTTCAAAACAAGTGTTTGTATAAGCCAAGCAGTTTGTTGTTTGCTGTCATACAAATGGACAGTATCTACATTTTGATTATCTTTCATGAAAGCTGTTTAAATGATTATTGCTTCATGTGCAAGCTTCCTTTTAAGCNCCCCGCCCCCGGGAACCCTTAGTTCTGCAGCAGCCCCCCTTTTCAGAGCCAGCTTGGTCCCCTGACAATCCCTATGGAGGGAACACCTTTGGGGGAACTGACATTTCCTTCTTCCTCCTCCTCTGTGGGTATTCCAGACTGATCCAGGGGCAGCAACAGTCTGGAGTTCCCTGAGGCGCTAAGGGAGGATACTTCCTAGCAACTCACTTACCTGCAGGCACGATCAGGAGAATTAAGAATTTCATAGTAGAAAACAGAGAAGTTGAGGGCAAGTCCTAAGCGGATGGGATGTGTTGGAGGAAGTTCTGTCATTGCAATATCACTAGCAGCTTTATAAGCCACCAAGCTGTTCTCGGCAGCTTCCTTTCGGTCATTTCCTGTGGCAAACTCGGCGAGATACCTGTGGTAATCCCCTTTCCTGGATAAGGGAATAAAAAGCAATCAAGAGCAAGGCCAGGCCTTGAATGTGCAAGAAGATTTATTGCTGGAGTGGGTTTCAATCTCTTTGGAATGCTGTTATTTCTAACTAATGGGATAAAAGTTGAATTTTAATATTTTAAACAAGCCCACTTGCTCCCCAAGATTTGTGCACACACACCCCCGCGGCCTAGTGGTGTTTCAAAAGCCCCCAAGATCTGGCTCTTCGCTGAAGCCTTTGGCAAATGTGATTCACTGGGAGTCAGGAGGCACATTAATTTAATGAATTGTTATGATTAGGTTAACCAGCTATATTTGCATGGCACAATGTGAGATTCTTATGAATTCTGATTTCCCAAGAATGAAATCAGTCCCCCTCATATGATTACTGCACTCTCGATTCCCCCCAGTAGCTAAATCTTGCATTGTGATAAAAATAAATAAGGCAAGAGGGGAAGCAGGGCCAATCTGTCTGCCAACTGAAAGACCAAACTGTGTTTTTTCTACCACTGATTATAACCATTTTTCTGTGTAAATAAAAATATTTACATTACTCCTAGTACACTTTTCATCTTCACCAGATGAAAACGAATGGCTTGAGCCTGTCCACCAACTGCCAGATTTTGCTTCAAGCCACTTATCATGGCTGTTTCCTGTTTCCCTCTTTCTTTCTTTCTTTCTTTCTTTCCCTCTTTCTTTCTTTCTTTCCTTCTTTCTTGTACAGATGGCCAGGCTAGAATAAAGATTTAATACTGGAAAGGAGGAAAATGACAAACGTATCCAAGGCACAAATTCTTCCAACTGTGGCTGAAAGAACCCTATATATTGAAGTACTGTTTCTAATTTTAAACAATGTGTGGTCAGATTTGCAAGAGTTAGTAAAACTTAAATTCCATACTCAAATATTTGATTACAGGACCACCCTTTTAGTTTAATGAGTGCAATATAACCTAATACAGAGTATTTATACAAAACTATCTTAATTCCTGCTTCCCTTCATAAATACATTGTAAGCCATCTAACTGGTCTAGTGCCATAATTGCAAAGCAGACCCAGGACACCCTCTTTGAGGGCTAAAATAAAGGGCATGAACACCCACAAAGATAAGCAACCCCCCCCCCAACAGGATGCATTTAAAAACTGACTGGATTATATGGGTTGAAAAACAGATACATGATGTAAAGAATGCAAGAAGAGTTTCTTTATTCTTTGACTTTTGCTTCTCCATCCTGCTTGTTTTCCTGCCCAGCCAGACACAAGCTCTGCCCATTTTCTTAGCTCCACGGGTGTTCCAAGGTCTGGTAGAAAAAAATTACTTTCCACCATTCAGATTTGTCTCTTAGGACAGAAAGGATTTCCACAAATAAGTAGTTTAGTTAAGGCGCACACACTCTTTTCCATACACTATGCCTGCAATCTGGTACCTACATTTTATAATAGAAAACCTTCGATTCACCAGTGTTGGCCGCTGGAATGAGGTGCTTGTCCAGTACATCCAGAATATCACAACAGATTAGTTTCAATTCAGTCTCAACCTTGGAAGGGGGAAAAAAAAAGGTTTTCAGAGCATTTAATCAAAGCATTTGAACCTAAATTCAAACAACGCATGAGAAAGAGAAAAAGAACCGCCAGTCAAATTATGCCCAAAAACAGTGCCCCCCCCTCCAGAAGCACCTACAGGAGAGGGTGGCGAAACTAGATGGGGACATCTTTCCTCTATACGCTATTAAAACTCCCACTTCTGTAACTTTAACTGTGTGAAATGGCGTATCGTAGGGCAACAATTTTTGAACCAAAATATCTCAAATGGGCCAACTTACAGAATGTGTCCAAAATCTGGGACCCATGACTTCTGTGGAACTGAAATTTGGCAAACTTTATAAAATATTATGACATAAAATGATCGTAAAACAATTTATGATATAATACAAAATGTCAGAAAAATTCCCTGTACTATTCAGTTCAACATGGCTATTTTCATGGCAGATCCATCTCTGAGCGCGCCCCATCCTTTCAAGCGAAGGCAGCAGTACATCACTGTGTCACTGTGGAAAGCGTTGCGGAATATCTGGTAAGGAAATATCTCTGAAAGGATGAGCCAACGGGTCACGGGGTCGTCTAATGTTTCCATTTTGGCCCTGCTGACACTCTCTACAGTGGGAAATAGGGGTCCTTCGTGACCAACTGGCTCTTCTTGTACAAAAGCCAGGGCTCGGAGAAATCAATGGTTGGGTTTATTCCTGGGCACCAATTTCACCAGATGGCATATCCAGGTGGCATACTGATCCCAACATGTAATGGTGCCACAAACCCTGGTCAAGTCTTCCCAGCTAATCTTCCCCATACCCTGAGCAGAGGAGCAGGTAAGCCCCAACCTCCACATTCCTTTCAGAGAAAGACACCTCAGGTTTTGCCTTTAAAAATCAAGTCCGCTGGATTCCAAACCCAAGCGGCCCTGATTCTAACCCCACAAAGGTGTGTACATACACACACACAAGCTTGAATGGCCTCTGCAAAGCCTAAGTGATCGTGGCAGCCTCCAGTGCAGACCAGTTCCCCTTCGCTGAACCCCCTCAACACAGAAAGCTGCATTATTTAAGATAATTAAAAAACGACTAAGGAAAATACTCCCAATGTTGTTAAGTGTCAAGATTGAGGCTTAAATTCTATGACTAAAAAAATTCAGATATATTTGTGAAGTTCAATAGTTTCTCAATAGCTTAGAGGCATATTCTTGTGAACACGACTAAGGACAGGCAAGGAAGCAGAGAACAAGAGCTATAACGGGCATTTCAGTTTTGAGTTTCCTGGGATCACTTATCTACTCTCTCTGCTCCAAAGCAAGAACCGATACTAATGGATCAATTTGACTTGGCCCAGCAAATGGGGCACAATTGTTTGGAAGCCTCCCTTCAGTGCCATATAACATTTTTTAGGATTAAAAGAACTTAAGTGTAGTTCACACAGAGGAAAGGTACAAAGAATCTATCAATAGTTTGAGAAACTATATAGTTCTAAGTATCTCAGATTTCTATTTAAGGCTCCAAAACTTCATATGTATTGAGAATCTGTCTTACAATAACGAAGACATCCCATTTCCTGAATCTATTTTAAGAATCTGGGAGTGCCTTCTTCCCCAAGAGTTAATGGTTGCCTCTGCTAAGCCAACCCAGTATCTGAAATTGAACTTAAAATCCCATTTATAAACAAGCAAAACCTATGAAATAATGTTACAATGTGAAACGCTCTTATTCCCTCCCATCTCTGAACCTTCCTCAACAATTATTCGGTAGTCAGTGAATATGTTCAAGTAAAGTGAATAATTTAGTTTCATCCACGCAGAGGCATGCTCGAAGGACTCAAGCCTCTAGTAAGCAATCTATCTTTTGGCCATTGAAAAGAGGATACATGTTGGAGGACACACTTCAAAGCCTCCACACAGACTCGCAGCTCCTTTCCATAGCAATCCATGCCTGTTCAGGCCATTGGGGAGAGGAGGAGAAAAGAAGAGCTGGGCCAGAATGCCACAAGAGCTACAAATGCTGTGATGCACACACCCAGGACAGTGGAAGGAAAAGGGATAAAAAGGTAGCCCCGCTCTGCCCAGATGTCCCTGCTACACAAACCTTGCAAAAGGAAACACATCCACTTCCAAGCTTGATTCGGGGGACTGAGGAGGTACAACCGCATCACTCACCATTTGCCGATACTCCCGGATCATCTTCAATTTGTCTTCCCCACCTTTGTTCTCTTCCTTCTGCTCAATGCTACTGATTATTCTCCAGGAGGCTCTTCGGGCACCAATCACATTTTTATATGCAACAGAGAGCAAGTTTCTTTCCTCGACCGTCAGCTCCACATCCATTCCAGCCACTTTCTTCATTGATTCAACCATTTCTAAAATACATATACACAACACACCAACTTACATGTCAGGCGTCTCATGCCAAATATGGGAATAAACTTTACAGTCCTCCATAAAAAATGAAACCAATGCCGATAGCATCAAACCCAGAAATTTATCCTGAGCAACTGGGGTGGGGGAGGGGGGTGTCTATGACTGTCAGGCAAACCAGGCTGCGATGCCAACAGCACCAGGCCCCCCGTGGGAGCAAATGTAAATGCACGCAGCAAAACTCTTTATGACACAGATTAACCGAAGCTTTCCGAAGCATCGGTGCCGCAGCAATGCTGAGCAGCCCTGAAAGCAAAGCTGCAGCCGTGGCAACTGGAGCCCCAAACGGCCGAGATCCCAAATGCAGCCAGCTCCACTGATTGCTTCTTGCAATCGCCTGAGGACCGTCTCCCCTGTACAGTAGCATGAAGAGATGGGGTTAAAATACTGGTATGCTATGGGAAAGTATGGAGGACACGGAAGGGAACCCCTCATCACAAGAGGAGGGCTGCTTAGCAAATGAAACCCAGACACCCTCAGCCACCAGCCTTTCGCTTGTCCCTTCCAGTGGAGGAAGGTGGCCCTCTGGGACAGAGCAAGCCTTCAAGCTTCCATTCCAAGAGGACCAATCCAGATGATCACCCGCGGCTGTACTTTCCAGCAATACTACATCCCATACTTCATGGGCACAAATCAAGTCAATATTTTAAAATCATTATTAGTTTATTATCCTGCCTTTTTCATATTTAATTCAAAGCAGTGAAAATACCCAATACATAACAACATGGCTTGGGAGTAGGACAACTGAAAGGGATTTGGGTATCCTTATTCATCACAAGTTACCTACAAGCTAGCAATGGGATGCATTAACTGAGCAGGCTCCAGATTATGGACAGTAACCATCCTCCTCTACTCTGCCCTGGACAGACCCCACCTGGGGTCCTGGGTCTAGCTCTATGAACCATGGTTCAAAAAGGATAGTGAGAAATTAAAGCCTTTGGAGGATGACAATCAGGGTAGTGAATGGTGGAAGGCCAAACCCCATGAAGAACAGTTACAAATTCTGGATCTTTAGCCCATAGAAGAGAAAACTGAAGGGAGACATAATAGCAGTTGTGCAACATCTGAGGGACTGCCACACAGATGCGGTGGAGTGATTCTTTGTTGCCCCAGAAGGCAGGAACAGAAGCAATGGATTCAATTTAAAGGAAATGGGTTCAGGCTAGATGTTCGCAGAAGCTTCTGGGCTGCATGAACTATGTCAGTCAGTGGAACAGACTGCCACATGAAGCGACGAGTTCTCATTCAGTCGATGTCTTTGAGGGGATGACTGGTCACCATCTGCCAATGATGCCTTGGTGGGTCTCATGCTGAGCAAGGGGCTGGATTTGATGCGTCTAAGGTCCCTCAACAAGTCCATGACCACGATCATCTCTGCCAATATTTTGATATTTTTCATTGTGAGAACCCATTCACGATATGCCCTCTTCTAGGAACCTAACCCAACACAGAAAGCGTTCAGCATCAGGTAAAGCCCTCCCACATCTCCCATGTATTGCAAAACTCAAATCATAAGGTAAGCCCTTCTGATATCTAGTCACCTTAGCATCTGAGTGATGCAAAATACCCAAGTTTAGGTGTATAGAAAGGATTCTGGTTTGTCCATTAAAATGTGTTTTCAAAATATTTCTTTAATTCCATTTTACAACACTGCCAACACTTTACAATTTATCAATATTTTAGATGGGAAGCACATGGAAACCGTAACAACAGTGTTCGGTATTTAGTATTTCAGGGTTCCAAAATCCATAAGGGATTCTGACCCTTCCTTGGCTTAGGTCCAACATATTGGAATGACTGTTTCCAATTTCATACTTTATTGCTGTGTTTACAATTAGTACTGTTGATTTTATTATATTCTTTTTAAGGTCTTTAAGGCCCAGAAAATATGTGCACCATGTGGAGCCGCCGTACCCTTGGGGAGCTTGAGGGGAGCAGCCGGGAGCAGGAGTGTTGTTGTTCCCTTATGAGAAGGCCATCAACATCCTCCCGGGGGCAGTTTCCTGGCCTGCTCACCCAGGGGCTTTTGCTGATAGACATAATAAAAACAAGCAGCCAGGGTTCAGTCTATCAAATGGGTTTGTCTCTTGGTCCACCCTACAACGCGGCTTGGCTTTTTCCTGCTTTCCCAGATCCTGACCTGCCAGGCAGGGAGCCACCCGGGGCAGGGAGATGATGGGGAACAGCACATGAATGGCGATCGCGCGCGTTTCCCATTTGGGAGAAAAGGTGCAATTCCAACGCTGGGGCAACGCTGGAGTCGGAGAAGGGAAAGGAGGCGAGCGGCGGCCGTGGGAGAAGGCAGGCGGGGCTCGGCCGAAGCGCTGGGCTCTCCAGCATGCGAGCCGAGCAGGGCCGTCGGGCTCCTGCACCTACTCGGCGCTTCCGGGCTCGGCCCTTCGATACCCCCCCACCCGCCCCGAAGAGGGGGCCGCGCCCCAGCCGCCCTCCTCCGCCCCCTCCCTTCCCCCGCGGCCTTGGGCGGGTGGCCGTGCGGGGCTCCCCCCGAAGGGGCCCCG